GTTGCAAGCGCCATGCTCTACCAACTGAGCTACACGGGGCCAGTTGGTACACAGCTGCCCTGGGGAATTCCTGATTGAGAGGGAATTCCTGATTGAGACCAGAGTGAAGGAAATAAGTAGTCAATGTGACTAGCTTGCCTATTTCTATGCCACATGTATTTAGTCAGATCAGGGTTTCTTAATCTCCAAACATCTACCAGGTCTAAAGAGGACATTAATTCAGAGATTGCAGTGCTTTTGGATGATAATTATGCACATGAACACCAGATCTATCTAAATTTATATTCAGCACAGTATTAAAATCACCAATAATTATGAATTGTACATTATTCATCAATAACGTGGGGTCAGGGTGCCTACCCTGTGAAAATTATTGTAATGAAAAATAAATAAACATATATTTTATCACCATGCTCTACCAGCTGAGCTACAAAGGACCACAGCTATTGGAGTGATGCATGCTAAATTCAGAGGATGTTAAACCCACGAGTTAACAAAAGTGGTGGAAACATGTTACGAGATAACCTCACAAGAATACATTTACAGCATCATAGGCAAGTAAAATTACACTAAATTCTCACTTTTCTTTCACGTTAAGAAAAACTTTGATTTGGCTCCTGGTGTCTGGCCCAACTGAACAGAGTGTAAATGTTCAGACACGGTGAATTCTGAAGAGGTCCCTTCTTTTGGAACCAAAGTGGACTTGAAACAAAGTACACTAAAAGCTTTCGTATTGGAAGCAATGACACAGGAAATGACAAGTTTCACATTCACAGCCTTTGAAAGAATTGTCCATTTGACTGGAAATTGATCTTGTCTCAACGAAATCGTGAGAATATTTGCCACTGTCTGTGAATCAATGATTTTCTCAATGCCTACGCCCTAAGAAGTTTTTACTAAATCGTAGATGTAAAAGTTTTCATCAAACTTGATGAAATACACAGAGGGTTTGGCCTCAACCTGATGGATAACCATGCCAGTGCTTTTGCCACCATCCTCTTTGGCACATTCCACATGTTTGCTAAAAAGGCTATCCACCACTTCTCCAGGCTCTCGCTCACTGCTGGAAGCGAGTCATTTGAATCAGGCATTATTCAGAGATCTCCCTCTTTGTAGTCATCCAAGAGCTGGTACATGTACAAAACAGGGTCCTTTTCGTAAGTGATGTAGAACCATGTGTTCGTGCTAGCACCATGACTCTCCACTCCTCCTTTGGTCCTTCATCTTGCTCAAACATGTTTGCCTATCATGATTCTGCTAGCTGGGCATCACTGACACGAGCTGGAGCAACTCGGTCTGGAAAAACCTCCAGGCCTTGCACCCTCTCGTCTTTGTGAAGCTCAAGTCCATAGATACACTCAAATCCATCATACTTGATCAGGTAGAGAGAGGGGTTGACAGGAACTTGGTCGAGAACTGTTCCTTTCCGCTGGGACACCTTGGTGTCTTCCTTCCACTGGTGCGTTATCCTGCAACCCACTATGTTTAGTCTGGGTTGGGCAATAGGCTTGCTTGGATCAACATTATTCTTCTGCTTCTTGTGGGAATTTTTCTTCTTGATCAGATTTGCAGATATCCCAGTATTCTCCCTATCAGCTCTGGGGCGCTGGCCTGGCGTCTTACCAAATGGGGTTTTCATTGATATACCTGTAGGTGAGCAGCTAGGCTATAGGGTGACAATGTCTCTACTAGGGAATCAGGAGAGAGCGGGACAGGATGGAGGTGGTGGCACTAGGTGGGAGGATCACTCCCATCCATTGCAGGAAAACTGACTGTGGCATTTCAGACTCGAATAGGGGTATCTAAACATTTTGGGAGCCTTGCCACTAGCCTAATAGGCTCTTTCCCGATGAATTGTAAATCAATTACTTTGTCCCCTCTCGCTTTTCCTCCAGCTCCAATTGCTCCATTTGGAGATAACCCAAACGCTATGACCGAGTCCACCAGTCTGCATGATGAAATTGATTTCTGAACTAGTACTTTCCAAATGTGATGTGATCTGGTACAAAATGTGCAAGGAGGCCAGGGGAAGGCAGCCAGGGGGGAAAGGCAGCCATGATTTGTGCATGCGTGTTTCTACCTTATACTGCAAGTTAACGGACGCCAAAAGGCAGGCAGAGAGCTTCACTGCCTTTCATGTGTCAATATGTCCCATTAATTTTCATTGCACTCAAATAATAAATGCACATGCGTATTGGCATGAAAAAAGTAATTGGATAGGCAGAGCTTGCTCCTGCATATGGATGTCACAAGTCATCTGCCACCTTTTGGTGGTTACGTTACAGTTTTTCTCGATTGCTAAGACACATTTCTTGAAAGCTGCTCTCCTTTTCTCTTAACTGTGAACACAAAACCCAATTTTCAAGCTACATTCACAAAACCTCAGACTCTTCTTGCAAAACCAAACTTTCACCTCAAAACAGTTCAATCTGTGCTCAAAACTGAACTATGTTGTCAAATCGTGCCCCGAGTCAATCAAAATAAAAAACACTACTGAACAGTCACTAAAGACTACGTAGAAAAATAGAACACAATGCTCAGGACATGAAGCTGGAGAAATAAATGTTTATTGTTCACTGTAGGTTAAATGCATGTTGCAAAACAAAAAAAAACTGTGCATTTAGCACTTGTACAAAAAGACAAAACAGAAATCTTGTGCATTTACATGTAGCACTTGTAAAAACAAACAGAAATCTTATGCGTTTGCCACTTGTGTACAGTAAGCCCATGTAAAAATAAAGTACAAAAATATACAAATAAGTGCATTACTCAGCCACAGCATCATGTCTCCGTACTGGGTCAGGCCACAGGACTTCATCCACATCACAGGCCACATTTTGTCTGGCCAGGCAACGGGGGAAAAAACCCCTGGCATGCCGTATCCAGGCTTGGCATGCCTCCACACCTATGTCACCACAGGCAAGTCCCATGGCTTGCAGAAGATTTACCCTGGTGTAAGGTTGGCGTTCAAATACCTTCCATCGCCATGAGGAGAATAATTCCTCAATGGGGTTTAGGAAAGGGGAGTATGGTGGAAGGCAAAGATTGATAAAACCTTGGTTCATATTGTACCACTCTCTAACCTGGAGGGCTCTGTGAAAACTCACATTGTCCCAAACAACAACATAGATGGGATGCTCATCCTGCTGCCCTAACAAAGCATCTCGCATGTGATTGAAGAAAATGAGGAGCTGGTGAGTGTTGTAGGGCCCCAGGTTGGCATGATGGTGGACAACCCCATGATTCCTGATGGCAGCACATAATGTGACATTGCCACCACGCTGCCCAGGAACACCAACAATGGACCGATGGCCAATCACATTACGGCCTCTCCTTCTCCTTTTGGTGAGATTAAACCCAGCTTCATCCATGTAGATGTATTGATGGGGTCTTTCCATTGCATCCAGTTGAAAAACCCTCTGTAGAAATAGATATCGTTTTGTAAGTGATACGGAAAAAGTGATTTAGGCCACTACAGTAAATCACTACTTAGAGTAATCAACATTGAATGTGTCTGGATATATGCCAACCTGTACATACTGGAATCTTTGCTCTTTGACTCTGTCTGAGTTGCGATCAAAGGGCACTCTTTATAGCTGTTTCATGCGCAGTCTGTTGCGCTTGAGGACACGATCAACAGTAGAGAGGCTGACACTGTTGATACCCTCAAAATTTAAATGGTCCTCAATGATCTTCTGCTGAATTTCGCTCAGTTTAATGGCATTGTTCTCACGGACCATATCAACAATTAGGGTCTCTTGGTGTGGGGAGAACATACCTGTCCTCCCACCCCATGTGGCAGTCTTTCAATTATACAAAAAGAGAACATGGAGTTACAAAAATATACATGGAATACTAGGCCTACAAACAGTTAGACCAACCCTCCATTACAATACTACAGTACATTGGTACAGTGATGTACTGAAACATATATTTACTTACAGTATACTGTGGTACAGTATATAGTATGTCATACAGTAATTGCTGTCAACATTTACATACTGTACTATAATGTCAAAAAAAGGTAATTACCTGTTCTCTTCTCTAAATCTTCGGATTATGGTGGACACAGTGAATCTACTGATGTTTGGTTGTACCCTTTGTCCAGCCTCCCTCATGCTCATACCATGGACAAGAACATGGTCAATCACAGTAGCTCTGATTTCATTAGATATTACTGTTCTTTGTCTTCGCTGACCACATCGACCACCTCGACCTCCTCTCACACAAACTCTTTCTCTCAGATTTCTATCCATTGTAGGGCCTCACAAACCAGTGCTCTCTGAACTGGCTTACTGTATATGTTCCCTCACATCATTAGCCACAAGTGTGATCAATTTTGAGTTGTTGTGTTCAAGTGGTGACACCTGTGCTCTAATTGTGTTTGACTTTTGTCACCTGTGCTCACCATTATGCAGCACGGGTGCATCACAATGAAAATGTGTTGGCAAGTTATGTCTAAACAGGTGAAAAGTGCTTATGGTATTGCCAAAAGAGTGATTGATTCAATCAGTGGATTCAGGCAACTGAGCATTTGGTTCAGACAATAGGGTTTAGTGTTTTAGCAATTGAGAAAAACTGTAATTTTACTGCTAGCTAAAGTACGCTGATAAGGATGGCTAGCTGGGGATGATTAGGTGGTCATGACGGTATGAGGGCCATATTGGGAATTTAGCTAGGACACCGGGGTTAACATCCCTACAATAAGTGCCATGGGATCTTTAGTGACCACAGAGTCAGGACACCCGTTTAAAGTCCCATCCGAAAGAAAGCACCCTACACAGGACAATGTCCCCAATCACTGCCCTGGGGAATTGGGATATTTCTTTAGACTAGATGAAAGGATGCCTCCTACTGAGAGAGAGAGAGAGAGAGAGAGAGAGAGAGAGAGAGAGAGAGAGAGAGAGAGAGAGAGAGAGAGAGAGAGAGAGAGAGAGAGAGAGAGTGTGTGTACATGTTGTGCTTTATTTTTCCACGTCAGCCACCCATCTCTTCTTTGTCAGTCTTGATAGGCACGGTGCGTGCACTTCTGGGTGAGGCTGTCCGGGGCAGTGGTGGAGTGCATGGCAGATCTGAAAGAGAGATGTGACAATAAGTATACAGCTCAACAGCATGTTTGTGCATGTCTGTAGGTGTGAATGAGCGAATGTGTATGTGATATAATTCTGAATGACCTGTATCCATCTGGGAATCCTCAAAAGTTTCTCCCTTCACGGCCAGTGTAGGAGGAAATGGTGCACCAGTAAATTAAATATCACAGCACAGGACTGCTGTGACTGCAGCTGAACTGCTGGGGGTGGCAGATCTAAAAGAGAGAGGCACAATTTTCTAAACTGAAAAGAATCATACAACTTAACAGAGTGAATGAGTGTAAGGCCTAGATTCAATCAGATCAAGCTTTAACCGGCGATATCCGACACACGCATAGATGATGTTTTTGAGGTGTTGGAGGTATAACTGAGTTGGAGCTGTCACATCGGTGAGCAGCTGCTCTTGATCATTGTCACAAAGCCACACCTGTCTGTCACGCCCTGGCTCTGGGGACTCTAATATGTTGAGCCAGGGTGTGTAAAGTATATGTGTTTTGTTCTAGGTTTCACATTCTAGTATTGTTTGTCTATGTTGGCCAGTGTGGTTCTCAATCAGAGGCAACGTGATTCAGCTGTTGCTTGTTGTCTCTGATTGAGAACCATACTTTAGCAGCCTGTTTCCCCACAGAGTTTGTGGGATCTTGTTTCTAGTCTGTTGTGTTAGACCGTGAACTGTCACGTTATCGTTTTGTTGTTTTTGATCGTGTCTCTAATAAAGAGTATGTTTGCCTGCAACGCTGCGCCTTGGTCCTCATCTCTGTTAGACGATCGTGACAGAAGATCCCACCAGAACTGGACCAAGCAGCCTAGTGAGGAGCAGAGAGGGTGGACTTGGGAACAGTGGAGGAAGAGCTTCGACTGGGTCAAGCCGAATGAGGAGCTGAATGGCGGGAATTGGAAGCAGAAGATCCCACCAGAACTGGACCAAGCAGCCTAGTGAGGAGCAGAGAGGGTGGACTTAGGAACAGTGGAGGAAGAGCTTCGACTGGGTCAAGCCGAATGAGGAGCTGAATGGCGGGAATTGGAAGCAGAAGAGCAAGAGTTGGGCGAGAACTATAGAGGCCTGGCCCACGGGGAAGAGAGACTCCCAGAAATTTTTTAGGGGGGGGGCTCACGACGTCGGGGCAGCAGGAGGCCGCGATAGAGCGGCCCAGCGGGTTGGCAGAGGAGGCCGCCAGGTTACGGGGGCCACTGGTCGAAGAGGGGATGGAAGGTGTAGAGGCACGGCGAGAGGTACTGGGGTGTGTTGCCAGTCCGGTCCGGCCTGTTCCTGATCCCCACGTAGGGCCAGTGGTGTGTGTTCCCAGTACGGTCCGGCCTGTTCCTGCCACTCGCACCAAGTCTACGGTGCGCGTCGCCAGCTCGGCCCGGCCTTGTCCTGCTCCCCGCACCAAGCCTGTGGTGCGCGTCGCCAGCCCAGTCCGGCCCATTCCTGCTCCCCGCACCAAGTCAGTGGTGCGTTTCGTCAGCCCTGTCCAGCCCGTTCCTGCTCCCCGCACCAAGTCAGTGGTGCGTTTCGTCAGCCCAGCTCGGCCCGTTCCTGCTCCCCGCACCAAGTCAGTGGTGCGCTTCGTCAGCCTGGCTCGGCCCGTTCCTGCTCCCCGCACCAAGTCAGTGGTGCGCTTTGTCAGCCCGGCTCGGCCCGTTCCTGCTCCCCGCACCAAGTCAGTGGTGCGTTTCGTCAGCCCGGTCCGGCCCGCTCCTGCTCCCCGCACCAAGTCAGTGGTGCGTTTCGTCAGCCCGGCTCGGCCCGCTCCTGCTCCCCGCACCAAGTCAGTGGTGCGTTTCGTCAGCCCGGCTCGGCCCGCTCCTGCTCCCCGCACCAAGTCAGTGGTGCGTTTCGTCAGCCCGGCTCGGCCCGCTCCTGCTCCCCGCACCAAGTCAGTGGTGCGTTTCGTCAGCCCGGCTCGGCCCGTTCCTGCTCCCCGCACCAAGTCAGTGGTGCGTTTCGTCAGCCCGGTCCGGCCCGCTCCTGCTCCCCGCACCAAGTCAGTGGTGCGTTTCGTCAGCCCGGCTCGGCCCGCTCCTGCTCCCCGCACCAAGTCAGTGGTGCGTTTCGTCAGCCCGGCTCGGCCCGCTCCTGCTCCCCGCACCAAGTCAGTGGTGCGTTTCGTCAGCCCGGCTCGGCCCGTTCCTGCTCCCCGCACCAAGTCAGTGGTGCGCTTCGTCAGCCCGGTCCGGCCCGCTCCTGCTCCCCACACCAAGCCAGTGGTGTGCGTCGTCAGTCCGGCACGGCCCGTGCCTGTTCCACTGGTGGCTGGTCCGGTACCGGTCAGATGCTTCACGCCGGAGCTAGAGCAATCCGCTCCACCAGTGTGCAGTCCAGCTCCGGCCAGCGGGGCCAGACCGGACCAGGGGTACTTTGGGGGGTTGGAGAGGGAGCGGGGATCAGGCCCGGAGCCGGATCCGCCGCCTAAGCGGAGTGCCCACCCGGTCCCTCCCCTGTGGTATTTGGTGGGCGCGGTCGGAGTCTGTGCCTTTAGGGGGGGTTACTGTCACGCCCTGGCTCTGGGGACTCTAATATGTTGAGCCAGGGTGTGTAAAGTATATGTGTTTTGTTCTAGGTTTCACATTCTAGTATTGTTTGTCTATGTTGGCCAGTGTGGTTCTCAATCAGAGGCAACGTGATTCAGCTGTTGCTTGTTGTCTCTGATTGAGAACCATACTTTAGCAGCCTGTTTCCCCACAGAGTTTGTGGGATCTTGTTTCTAGTCTGTTGTGTTAGACCGTGAACTGTCACGTTATCGTTTTGTTGTTTTTGATCGTGTCTCTAATAAAGAGTATGTTTGCCTGCAACGCTGCGCCTTGGTCCTCATCTCTGTTAGACGATCGTGACACTGTCATACTCACGTTAGAAGTTCAGAACGTGTAGGCTATATAGAAATAATGACGCTGAAATTCAAAATCATTAAACAAAATAATGAGGATTTCTATCAGCCTTATCGAGGTGTAGATTACATCTCACATTCCAGTGTCAAACTTGAGATTTTAATGCGACTCCGTGCAGCGAATGGCAATGTCCAGGAGCCGCTTGTGGATATGAAAGCTCTAACACAGTTCCACCTCAGACACTGACAAAACAACCTCTATGTGGATGTCGGCTAAAGCGGATCTGATTGAATAGAGCTCCAAGTGAGGGAGAATATGCGTTTGTCTGTACCTGTATGTGATAATTATCTGTATCATCTGGCGTGGCCAGTGTAGCAGGTGCAGGGGCAGACGACTGCAGTTGTGAGGGCTGTGGTTGAGCTGATAGGGGTGTAAGATCTAAAAGAGAGAGGCACAATTTTCATAGGTGAAAATAATTCTACAACAAAACAGAGTGAGTGTGAGTTTCAGTTTCAGTATACGTGTATGTGATAATTACCTGGACCACATCACACTGCTTCAAGTCTACAAGCCTCTGGAAGTTCCAGAGTGCCACTCTAGGACTGGAACAGCTTGGTGGAAAAATGGTTACCTGTCACTGTTGTGGAAAATAGTCCTTATCCTCGTTAAAAGAACCAAAGTACTTCCAGAGTTTTTGTAGAATTAAGATAGACTTTATTACACAAGCAATAGAGCCGAGCTGGTCTGCAGCGCAACTAACTTTCCAACTCTCAGCTCTCAGTTTATATACAGTTTCATCTTCACCTCTTGACCGTACCATTCAAAAGTATGGACACACTGTGACACTCTGGCTCTAGGACTTGGTATTGTGAGCTAGAGTGTATGTTGTTTTGTTGGGGATTTGGGTGTTTTTCTATGTTGGTAGTCTGTTGGGTGTATTTCTATGTCTGCAGGTCTGGTGGTTGTATTTCTATGTTGTATGTTGTCGTCGATGACTCCCAATCGGAGGTAACGAGTGTCAGCTGTCGGCTCGTTATCTCTGATTGGGAGCCATATTTAAACTGTCAGTTTTCACCTTGTGTTTGTGGGTTTTTGTTTCCTGTTTCCAGTGTTTTCGTGTCAGTCATTGTTTGTTTGGACTTCACGATTCGTCTTTTGTTTTGTAGTTACGTGCTTCTTTATTAAAATCATGTTCACTCGCAACGCTGCGCTTTGGTCCGCTCATTTTGAAGACGATCGTGACAGAAAAACCCACCATCAAAGGACCAAGCAGCGCGTCCAGGAGCAAAGGGTCTGGACATGGGAGGAACTGTTGGACGGTAAAGGGTCCTGGACTTGGGAGGAGATCCTAGATGGTATGGATCGCCGACCATGGAACGAGACGGTGGAGAGGCGACGGCGAGAGGAGCAACGGCATCAGCAGGGCAATCATCGTCGGAAGGACGAGAGGCAACCCCAAGAAATTTTTGGGGGGGGGCACATGGCTTGGGCGACGGAGCAGCAGGAGGCTGCCACAAGGCAGAGTCAGAGGGCTGCCAGGTTAAGGGGGCTGACGGAGGCAGAGAAGGGACGGATTCAGTGGGCTACCAGGTCAAGGGGGCTACTGGGTAAAGCAGGGAAGGAAAGTGTTGAGGCACGGCGTGAGGTACTGGGGTGTGTAACCAGTTCGGTCCGGCCCGTTCCTAGTCCCGAGGTGCAGCCAGTAGTGTGTGTTCCCCGTACGGTACGGCCTGTTCCGGTCCCTCGCACTAAGTGTACGGTGTGCGTCGCCAGCCCGGTTCGACCTGATCCTGCCACCCGCACCAAGTGTACGGTGCGCGTCGCCAGCCCAGCCCGGCCTGTTCCGGCCCCTCGCACTAAGTGTACGGTGCGCGTCGCCAGCCCGGTTCGGCCTGTCCCTGCCATACGCACCAAGTGTACGGTGCGCGTCGCCAGCCCAGCCCGGCCTGTCCCTGCGCCACGTAGGATGCCTACGGTGTGCGTCGTCAGCCCAGCCCGGCCTGTCCCTGCGCCACGTAGGATGCCTACGGTGTGCGTCGCCAGCCCAGCCCGGCCTGTTCCTGTGCCACGTAGGAAGCCTACGGTGTGCGTCGTCAGCCCAGCCCGGCCTGTCCCTGCGCCACGTACTAAGCCTCCTGTGTGTCCCCAGAGTCCTGTGCGTCCTGTTGTTTCTCCCCGCACTAGCCCTGAGATGCGTGTCCTCAGCCCGGTACCTCCAGTTCCGGTACCACGCATCAGGCCTATGGTGCGCCTCAGATGGCCAGAGTCTGCCATCTGCCCAACAGCGCCTGAACTGGCCGTCTGCCCAACGGCGCCTGAACTGCCCGTCTGCCCAACGGCGCCTGAACTTCCTGTCTGCCCAACGCCGTCTGAACTGTCCGTCTGCCAAGCGCTGCATAAGCCGCCCGTCTGCCATGAGCCTTCAGAGCCGTCCGCCAGACCGGAGCCGCTAGAGCCTTCCGCCAGACAGGATCAGCCAGAGCCTTCCGCCAGACAGGATCAGCCAGAGCCTTCCGCCAGACAGGATCAGCCAGAGCCTTCTGCCAGACAGGATCAGCCAGAGCCTTCTGCCAGACAGGATCAGCCAGAGCCTTCCGCCAGACAGGATCAGCCAGAGCCTTCAGCCAGCCATGAGCAGCCAGATCCGTCAGCCAGCCATGAGCAGCCAGATCCGTCAGCCAGCCATGAGCAGCCAGATCCGTCAGCCAGCCATGAGCAGCCAGATCGCAGC